AAGATCGGCTTAGGAGCGAGTAAGATTCGACGGATCATCAAACGGAGTCCCAGATACTCCGAAAATGCGGGTGAGGGTTTCAGTAACCGTCCATTTGTGCGATCGTGAGCGATCTAACTGTCCGTTTCGGACCAATTGTATAGGACGTGTATCCTGGACCTCGTGAAACCTATAGGAACTCCTGGGAAGCTAGGGTTTTATTTTAAAGTTCTGTTTTGAAGTGCTTGACGTTCATCGTATTTTTATATTCTGAATCAGGTACTCCAACCCAGCATACGCAGCAGGCGGGACCCTCTAAGGGTCAAGCTGTGTGGGATTACTTGTGAGTGGACTTTTCTTTTGAAACTCAGTATGATTTCATTCATGGAAATATGGCATATAGTTTTATTATGTTTATCAAGAAGTGATATATGCTCGAATGAAAGTTCGAGGTTTTTATAAAACTTATTATGATATTTGAATTCTGAGAAATCATATTTGCATGCGTCTATGCATGGGGTACGTGATGGTTGACATGAGCTATGGAAAGGTCATATTTGATTTGCTAGTTGGAGTGCGGTAAGCACTATTTCATGTACCTCCCCTGATCTGATTTTGGTTACGGATACTGAGTACTTTTGCAAGTATGAGAACTCAGAACATCCTTGAGGGGATGTTGCTGTGGACCCTGGATTTGGGGTAGTCTGCGCGCGTAGGACTGGTATTTCAGGCGTACAAGCTTTGACTGTGTCGGCTGTACGTGCTGGCTGAGAGTTCGTTCCCCAGTTGGACGGCTCGTTCCCTAGACACATGGTGAATTGAGGAATGGCTCTGCCATGTGGACTAGTCAAACAGTCCCCCGGTTGGATTGTTTCCCTGGTACAATTAAATATTGGTTATATTCATATACTATTAATATTATTATTAATAATATTATTATTATTCTATTACATCATATATTTAGTATGTATATTATTGTATGTATGTATGAATGTTCTTTGGTTCTATTCTCGGTAAGGATACTTCCTCGCCGGTCGTACTTTTGAGAATGTTTATGAGAGTCTAACCTCTCGGAACTCTTAAATTGAGTGGTGGGCTTCGTGAAGTATTATTCACGGATTACAGATTTGAGATCCGGTATAAAGGTGTTAATATGTATGCAGGTGCTGTTTATGTTGTTTTGTTATGCTTATGGTTTTCTTGCATATAAAAAGTGGGGGTTACACTATTTTGTTTTCACTTGAACTAAACTTGGTTTTTTGTCCACTCACAACTTTCTGTTTTGCGCCCCCAGCCAGTAGCGACTGAGTTTTGCAGTTGAGCCGGACCGGGTGCATTTTGGAATTCGAGTCTTCGTAGAGACTCTTGGTACCTTTTCCTTTCAGTTGACGATATTTCGGTTGTATTTTGAATTCTGTAGTTATGCTCTGTATCGCCCACTGAGGGTTTAAATTTTGTAAGGCCTGGAGGCCTTGTTTGTAAATTATTGTACTGCCTGTAAAGCATGCTGCCAGTTGGTTGTTTTTAACTGTAAATTTTGAGCAGGTTGAATTGGGAAATGTTCAATTTACAGGGGAGACTCTGCCAAATTTTTGGTAGAAAGTCTCAGTTTCTAGTAGATGGGCCCGGCATCGGGATGATGTCGGTAA